AAATTTTAATATCAGTTATTTTACTATGTTTTGAATAAATTTGGCAAATTTTGGCCAGTTCGATACTAATATAATGCGGGTCAAAATTTATAAACTGGGCAGAATTAAAATTTTTAAAATGAATCAGAATGATTATATCTTTAGCATGTGAAAATTTTTTTTAGCATAATCTTATTTTTAACATGTGAAAATTATTTGTTTAGCACAATCTACATTTGCAAATTTTTTACTTTATAAAAATGCCACCAAAGACACGAAAAGTTCAACTTGCGGCTGCATGAAACAGTAAAGCTTTAAAAAAAAAATGCAACTTTATTAATTGTAAATTGTGATGAGGATGAATTGTCAGATTGTCATGATTCAGATGATGATTGGTATAATGATGAATTTGAAAATCTAAAACAAATTTCACAGACTGTTTTTAATGTTATAATTAAAAATGCAAAATTGCCAATATCATTTACAAATAAACGTCTATTGGTTTATATTAGAAATTCAGAAAGAACACAAAGACGTAAAAAATTAGCTGCTAAAACTGCAACAGCTGGTATCTCCAAACTTGATACTTTTTTTTCATATCTTAACAAATACCACATCAATCTACAAAGGAGCTTGCAAATAATCTAAAGCAACTTGAAAGGGATCAAGAACAAGAAGGTTTTAAATTAGCATTGGAGGATTTAAAGAAACTAATTGCTAACAAATCTTTAATTTTACAAGTCAAAACACAATTACAGCTTATAATGCAATATATTAATTTGCGGTTAAGTGGTCTTAAACGTATGAATGCAAGCAAAACCCTTGCAATTAGCATTAAAAAGGGAGATAATCAAGCATGATTAATTAGATCATGGAGTCAAAATTTTATTATTTATCATCAGATTTCAATATCAATGTGTGGAAAATATCAAAAAATAAAAAGTTTGTTGGGTGATGAAGATATTTATCAAATGATTACAGAATATCTTTGGAGTGTTGGTTGTGATGTAACAGTAAATGAGTTTAAGACTTACATTGAACAGGAAGTATTTCCAAGTGTAAGAATTGAAAGAAAAAAAATGATTTCTGATAATACAGCACGTGCTTGGTTAAAATATTTTGGATAGGAGTTTCGTGTTGAAAGAAAAGATGTTTATTATGATGGTCATGAAAGATCTGATGTGATTGAATATAGGCAAAATTTTTTAAATGAAATTTTAGAATTAGAAAAGTGGATGCCAAAACCATTAGATGATAATATAATGATTTTAGAAAAATCAGGTTTAGATGTAAATGAAAAACGTCATATATTAATAATACATGATGAATCCATTTTTTATGCTAATGATGGAAAAAAAACTTATTGGAGACCAGTTGGACATCAACCACTTCGAAAAAAAGGAGCAGGACTTAGTTTGCATGTTAGTGATTTTCTTACAGAGGTT